TAAAGCAAAAGATTGTTAAAAGGCGAAAAATATGTAGAAATGTTAAATATTGAAAAGCGCAACTAAAATTTCGGTCTGTTTAGCAATTACTTTCAAAGATGTTAAAGTTAATTATAGTACACAAAAATGTGGAGAATAACGTACTGACAAGGGTTTTTGACTGCAGTGCAAATTAAAGCAAATTTCATTGTTAAAACACAAAAAATACGTAGAAATGTTAAACATAGAAAAGCGCAACTAAAATTTCGATATGTTGAACAATTATTTTGAAAGGTGTTAAAGGTGAATGTAATGCATAAAAATGTGGGGAATAACGTCTTGGAAACGGTTTTTGACTGCAGTGCAAATTAAAGCAAATTTCATTGTTAAAACACAAAAAATACGCAGAAATGTTAAACATAGAAAAGCGCAACTAAAATTTCGATATGTTAAACAATTATTTTGAAAGGTGTTAAAGGTGAATGTAATGCATAAAAATGTGGGGAATAACGTCCTGGAAACGGTTTTTGACTGCAGTGCAAATTGAAGCAAATTTTATTGTTAAAACGCGAAAAATAGGTAGAAATGTTAAATATAGAACAGCGCAACTGAAAATTGGACCTGGTAAACAATTATTTTGAAAGATATTAAAGGTGAATGTAATACACAATAATGTGGGGAATAATGTACTGACAGGGGTTTTTGATTGCACTGTAAATTAAAACAATTTTCGTTGTTAAAACTCGAAGATTACGTAATTATTTTGCCCAAGTATAACCATCAAGTTTTCAGCATGATTGTAATATTATAGATAAATAGTTATTTATCAGAATCGCTGAAGCGTTTTATCTCTTCATTCATACAAACCGATTAGAAGGTGACTCTATTGATTAACATGTTACCGCACGCGAGATATAGGACACATTGAATAAAATTTTTCTTGAATAAATATTATCCATTACTACACTACTGTATAATCAAAAAAATTACAAGCTGCTTAAACACCAGCAATGTAATTTATTTGAAATACTCGCATTTAAAATGCAAATACAAGATAAAAAATGCCTACTTTTATCTTGCATTTAAATACATTTTTCATAAAAGCATTTTGTATTTATTTAAAATACTTTTCCAAACGTATTTTGTATTTGTAAAATGCAAAATACATTTTTGCCATTAAAAGTTTTGCTAGCATCACCGATCAAACATTACTTACGAGGGTGGATTGATAAGTTTCCGGCCTGACCAAGAAAAACAAGGTTTTTAAAAATTTTTTTTTTTATTTCTCAACATAATCTCCTCCAAGGCTGATACATTTCTCATAGCGGTGTTCCAGTCTATTAATGCCATCTCTATAGACTGATTCGTCAAGCTCCTCAAAATAACCATTTACAGCTTCGATTACTTCTTC